GGAGCAGGACTCAGCTCTCTGGCACTGAACCCCAGCACCTGCTATAGGAAATCGCTCAGAGGAAGCCTGGTTTTCTTTCTTAAGCATCTTTTTAATATTGCCCCATAAATCTACGGAGGCCCCTGACTTGGTGGGGAAGGGAGAGATTGGATGGGAGACCTCAGCTGACACTCGAAGCTCCTTTCTGTACTGCTGAAGGACCAAGAGATATTTTAAGCTTTTATGTGACAGCTGAGCTTCTCGACTCTCACCAAACCCAGGGTCAGGAGCAGCAATAAGGAGGGAGGAAGGAAGGGGAGGCATCTTAAAAGAAAAAGAATTAGGAGGAATGCGCTTGGACCCTCTTGCACTGCACTTGCATCAAGCGCTGCATTTCAGCAGCTAAATCTGAGACACACGGACTTGAGTTTTGTCTCTGCTTTTCCAGGATCAATGCTTCCAGGAGCACCACAAGCAGCACCTGGTGGAGCAGCCGTCAAAGAGATGCTCTGTCTCCCCGGGCTATTTTTGCCTTGGTATGTCAACCCGGCTCAGAGGAGCGGCTCTACCCCGGCTGTGAGCCCTGCCCCTTCCCTTGCTCTCCTCCTTTCTGACGCAAACCTTCACCTCCTCTAACACCAAAGGCCACGGGGCAGAGGCACCCCTGAGCCCTGCTCCAGCTGCCGGCCCTTCCTTCTCACACGCCACGATTTCAGAGCAGCTCTGCTCTGCGCTGTGTGGTCCCAAGTGCACGGGCAGCTCCTGAGCTGGAACCCACAGCATCTCCTTAGGAAAAGGTCATCATAGTGCTGAGCGGGAGCAGGCTTCCTAATTGGGGTTAATGGAATGTTAACGGCATGGAAAAAGAGGTCTATTTGAGGGCTAGCACCCACAAAGGAATGAAAGGTATCCTGCACATGCAGCCTGCTTTGACTCGCCATAACAGAAATAGGCAGCACGTCTGCCTGGCTGCAGCCCTTGTAGTTGGCACAGCAGCACGGGGCAGTTTGGCGTTGGCCACGCTTTGTGTCGTTGCTTTTCAGCCTTCCCAAACCCCTGGCATCATCCAGCAAGGTCCCCAAAGCAAGCCCTGGTGGAGGAGGCAGCCACTGTGCGCCCTGCCAGCAGCCTCGCCAAGCACAACCTGCTCTGCTCTCCTCGAGGGGCTCCCAGCTCAGACCCAGCCCAACCAAACTGTTCCCCACCGTACCTTTGTACTGAGGGGTGAACTGCCTCATGGCCAGGGGCAGCGACTCGTAGAAGCTCAGCTCCTGTGAGACCAAGGGTTTGCAGACCGTGTGCTCGTCGTACTTCATCATGCTCATGTGGCCGCCCACCTGGTGCACGAAGGGCTCCAGGAGCACTGCCCTCCTGCCCTCACTCTGCCCCACCATGCTGCTCGGCCAAGGCTGTGGGTCAGCAGCGTGGGGAGGTCGCAGTGTGGGTCATTCCGTGCCCCTGCAGCTCCTTGACGTGGTGTCTGCAAGCAGAGGATATGGGAGAGCGTGAAGGCGGGGGTGGGGGGATGGACCACTGCAAAGCCACCGCCTGCAGTGGGCTGGGAGCAGCCTGGCCTCGTGTACAACACGGTGCTGGCGGGGAGCCCTGGTGTGACATGTCCCCAAAAGCCCCGATTTAGACCCGTTGGGGGCAAAGGAAACAGAAGGGGATGACTGAGAAGAGCTATCAAATTAACGCGGCAGCCTTGTGAAACCAGCTTGGATCAGGGCATTCCTTGGGCCAGCAATGCTGGGGTGTTAATATGCTGTATTAATAACAGCCCTGCTGTGAAACAGCCTCAGTTTGCCTGATGAGACAGTGCTAATGATGGTCTTAGCCTTTCCTCAAGCCAGAACATTCCCTGTGAATGAGGTTTCTTAATAAAGCCTCTGCAAAACCCCCGTCCTTGCACAGCTCCCCACCTCTCGATGCTACCAGGGGGGGCAGCAACATTCTCTACATCTTCGAGAGCACCATCCGGAGGGGAAGTTCCCAACCAATTAACACTGTTGCACTGGGAATGCTTCCTGCACAAGCATGGTGTGAGGATGCATCACAGCAGCACCCACAGCTCCCATCTGAACACATGGATTTGGGTCCCAATTCCATCCCCAGGGAGGAATCCTCCCATGGCTGTGGCAGGAGAAAGGAGCTGGTATAAGGGGGGGAGAAGTAAGATGGGAAAGGCACAGAAGCAGAGCAGCAGCACCTCAGCTTTGCTTTGCACCCAGCAAACCCTCTCCCCTCCTTGCTTTACTCTTTGCAAGGAGCTGAGGATGCTCTTGCTCTGCAGAGGACTCCTGTAGCCACTGAGACAGACAGAAAGATGGCAGAGCTAACATTTGTGAGGGTTCCATGCCATCAATGTTCTAAAATCAGAATAAGACATTACAGATCCCAAAATGTAACTGATGGGGAAAAAAAGACTGTGCATTATCCTTCCTTTGAGGGCAGCTCAGCGTTCCTGCAGCCCTCCCAAGGCAGAGTGCTGACATGGGAGGCTTTCCCCCCACTCCTCCAGCCTGGGGAGCTTGGCATCCTATTTGTGCTTGAAGGAACCCTGTGCAGTAAATGTGACACCTCTGAAGGTTTGTTTCCATGCACCAGAGCTCACAGGGCTGTCCGTGAGCATCACCACCTTCCATAGCCAAGTTCAGTAGCTAACAGACAGCAAAGGTTCTGCACCTGGAGGAGTTGGATGCAGTGGGCTGGTGGCACAAGGGGAGAAGGAACACTCCTCCCCGCACAGCTCACTCCTTCAACACCCCCCGAGGTGGTTTTTCACCCTCTCTTCTCTATTCTTTCATCACTGCACACCTCAGAGTGGAATCTCTGCTCTACAATTAGCAGCACCAGCTCAGGGAACAAAGCCGACCCGCTCAGATGAATGCTTTGCAGCCCGGGAAGAAAGCAGCACTTCATAGACTTTCTAGAAGTAAATAAAAGCATTTAGCGTTGCGTTCAGTTGAAGCAGCTTTTAAGGAGGATTCTCCCTTCAAAGATGAAGGTTTGCTGGATTTTTGTTGTTGTTGAGAAAAGCAGAAAGCAAGCAGCTCGCTCCTCACAGACCTCAAGCTCCTCTGAAATGGGACACTGGGAGTAGCTCCCATCTACAGCTCGAGTGGTCGTGAATGCCAGCAGATATCCACAGCCCTAAAAATACACTGAATTGCAGATTAATCTGTGTCCCTGACAATAAAACCCAAACCCTGGGTGATTTTGTCCTCTAGCAAAAGCGAGACAGCCGCGCAGGCGCTGTGGGTGGAGATGGGGCTGAATATTTGGGGGTCTGCAGTGCTCACTTGGCAGAGCTCCTGGGGACACAGCATGTCAGGCTCTGTTCTGAGGCCCGGTATCAGAAGGCACCGTGCAAAGAACTCTGTTTACAGCACAGCTTTAATGCAGCCCGATGGAACCAAGCGACAGCGTTCTCCAAGCGCCTGCCCCATCCCACCCTACTCACAACGGGGTGAAGCACAGCCTGGTCCTGGGAGCAGCTCTGCCCCAGGGTCCCATTGCCAGAAAGGCTTTGGAATATTAAAAAAGAAGAAAATCACCATGAAAACAAGTGCCCATCAGCACAGCCCCAGCTCAGTGCTGGCACTCCGGGGCACCTCGAGGCTCTGTGCTGCGCAGTCAGGCTCTGTGCACTGCACGGTGCTGCTGGGTTGGGTTGATGGTTTTTATTTTGTTTTACTTTGCTTTAATTAAAAGGCAAGAAATGAACTTGGCTGTTAATTTGTGGAGATCCTCATGCCTGCAGCTCTCATGTTGACCGGAATTCCTGGCCAGCTCCTGCACCCAACACCAGCACAGCCTGCAGGAGCGCTTTGTGAAGCCCAATTACCCCATTTCTGCCCAGTTTCTGGCCTTGTGCCTCTGAGCACCTCGAAGCATTGGCCACAAGGAACATCCAAGTTCTCCCAGCTCTGTGTGTTCCCAAACAGGGCTCACAGCAATGGGCTCCTCAACCACAGCCAAAGTCAGCACTGTGCCGGCAGCGAAATGTTCGGCTCTTGGCATGAAACCCAGCTCTAAGCACCCCATAAATCCTTATGTGCAGAAACCCTGAGCTCTTTTATCTTGTATTTCCTTCCTTGAAAGAAAATGACGTTCATAAACTTTACGGCCAGTCCCTGTGTCCCTCATGAATAAGATGCAAAGATGCAGTTTGCTGCACCAAAGGATTTATTTGGCTGCTCTGTCAAGCGCAGGGTCATGGGTAGAGGGGATGAGAGCAGAATTATCCTGGATGGAATGGCTGCAAAAGCACCCAACCCCATGCTGGGATCTGGGCATGGGGATGCACAGTGCCCCATGGTCTGCAGCACCCACTGTACCCACAAATGGGCAGAGGGATGGGGATGTCACCTCCCCACATCCACACAGCTCTGGGATGTACGCACCGAGCTGCTCCTGAGCCCTGAAAATAATCAGCTTTTCCATCACCATCAGTTGTTTCCAAGAAACAATTCCGCACTGATCAATTGCTCGGGCACAAATCAGAGCAATATAAGCACCCAAACTCTATCCTAGCTCTGGGCTCTGACCTGCCTGTCCCCCCCTGACCTTCCAGCCATTAATTCTGGGAGCTGTGCACACAGACTTGGCTCAGAACCTCCCTCCACTCCTCCACACTCCTTAGCCCCACAGTACTGTTGAGCCCATTCCAGCACAGCCCCGTCCAGCCTCAGCCTTGCACCCAACCCCCTTTTGCCCCCCACCAACCCACCCTGTGCTTTCCAGCAATGCCACGAACCCTTCGGAGAACTCAAAGCCAACCTTAAACCTTAACTCAACTCTGTAGCTAACCCAAAGCAAAGCAAAGCAATGCAGCCAAACCTGAAGCCACAACGCTCACTTTGCACACACCCCAGCTTGCTGCCGTCCCCTCACTCCCCCATCCCGTCCCACAAGCTGCGGCCACGTTTGGAGCACTTCTAACACTGCTCCTGGTGCCTCCAAGTGTTCCGCCATCCCCCGTCCCCATCCCTCACCTGCTGGCTCAGCCGCTGGCTCTGGGATCTCAGTGCTGCTCAGTGTCTCTCTACGATGGGAAATGAAGGAGCAGGGGGAGCCTGCAGACATTTGGGCCATCAGCTGACACTGCAACATTTCTGGCAGCACTCCGGTATGTCCAGCTGACAGCTGAGGTTGGGAGGGGGAGAAAACAGCCCCTGGTGTTAAAGGAAAACAAAGCCGTGGGGTGAGGTTGGGGCTGAGGAAGCCACGTGTGGGGCTGTATGAAGCATGGCCACACTCTGCCTCCCTTGTGCAATGGCTCCAGAGGGAAATAACTGCAGCTTTATTCTGGTGCATGCAAAGAAGCGATGGTGGTGTAAGGGAGCAGGCTGGAGCCTGCTGTGCTGCTGGGATGAGGATAGGTGCAAACCAACCCTGCAGCTGCTTGCTGTGGGAAATGGGTTGGGATGATGCAGGGAACGATGGAGCAAAGGGGCTGTGAGCGCAGGGAAGAGGCAGCAGAATGAGCGGGGATGCTGGGGATCAAATGAGTCGATGAGCTCATAGGGCTGAGAATGGAAGAGGTATTTTTGGGAAGGGGTGAACCGTGCTGTGTCCAATGCAATGCAGCAGCTGAGAGAATTGGGGCACAGCGCCCGGCCCTGCCAGCAGCCTCATGCAGGAAACCAAGGCTGGGAGCAGAGTGGAAAAGTCCCACAGCATTTCCTGCCAGCTCTGCGGGGACAGCGTGTGCCCCATGCTGTGCACCTGCCAGGACCCAAACAGCCCTGTGGGATCCTCGCATGCTGCAGCCAACCTGGCACATCCCGACAAGACCCACTGCTATTTTGGGGTACATGCAGTCTGAGCACCCCATGCTCACCCCCACCCCGTCCCCCATCAGTCCCAGTGATAATTCAAGGGCATCAACAAATCGGTGCCTGCAACAGGGATGGCGCTGGGAAGGGTGGGAAGGAACCCTGCTGCTGAGGAACCAATCAGTGGATGCAGTAATTGCCGCTAATTGGAGGGGAGCAGACAGGACCGAGCCCAACTTCGCCCTGGGAGCCCTGCATGGTGCTGGCACATACACCTCCCCTGTACAGAGCCTGCCCTGCTGGATGCCATATGTATTTTTAATGGTTATATTAATTGCAGTGATCTCATTTTGATGTCAGGAGCACTGCAGTGGCTGCTCCGTTCAAACCAGCACAGCTCGAGGCTGCTGCATCCCAGGAGGTGCCCCCACCACAGCTGCAGAGGCAATTACTCAGCCCCTTGTACAACACAGAGCACTCTAAGGGGAAAGCAAGCCCACCTCATATTAAAACTATGCTAATTAGGAACTAATTACAGGCACACAAGGATATTAGTACCCCGGCCAGCTTGAAAGCTGCAGCCTCCATCAGATGGAGACGTGATCCTAAGAGTGAATGCCCCCCAGCTCACACTGGGATGCCACTACAGCTGAACCTCGTGCATTCCTGGCTCCACATTGGAGTGGGTTCCTTGGTAACGTCCACACCGCAGAAGGACCTCGGCCCAACGTGACCCGGCCACCCGCTGAATGTTTTCCTGTGTTGCTTCAGCTTGGACACTTGGAACTGTTTTGGAGCAGCGACGTAAACAGCACGAGCCCAGCCTTAAGGGAGTGCTGTGAAGAAATGTAGGGCAGGTGCTCTTCTCCATCAGAGGGGAGGTCACAGAGACCAGGGGTTGTCCTGCCCACAGGAGCCGGGGAACACAGGGGCAGCAGAGGTGCAGAGCACACAGCCACCCAGATCCCAGCCCAAGCGCGAGGGCTGCTCTTGAGAAGTCGAACAAAACCACGGTGGAGATTCCAGCACAAGCCCTGGGAGAGATTGCCTGAGATGGGGGCAGTGCTGGAGGGAGGCGCCCTGGGGCAGAGCTCCCTGTCTGTGCTTCTGCTTCTCCAGTCCACGCTGATCTTTCCAGGAGAACTGGCACAGCGCCCCGACTCCGCATCCCATAAATAAGGCTCAGCATCAGCTGTCATGTCAGCAGGAGACAAAACATTTAATGTGAAAGGCTTTAAATGGAAGCAGGAAATGAAAAGATAAAGGGCAAATTTTATTTTAGATTCCTTGTTGGTACATATTTTCCTCCCTGACAGTGAGGGGATGCGATGGCTTTATCAGCCCACTGCTCAAGAACCTATTTATGGAACCCTCACGCTTTGCAAGAAAGTGGGAGCGAATGCAGGTTGGAAGCAGAGCAGGGGAGGGATGAACCCACTGTCCCCTCTTCCCTGAGTGGATTGGGAGGCTGGGAAAATTGCTGGTGCCATAGAAACTATCAGCACAGGCTGCAGGGAGCGGGCAGGAACACGGCAGCAACAGCAGCATGAAGCCACCTTCCTTGCTGCCCATGGACACAAGGTGGGCTGCCACAGCAAACAGCCCCCAGCACGTGCCATCACACCAGACAGAAGATTCTTTCCTAACCTCAAAAGCATTTTGGTTGTAACTTAGCAACCCGTGTTGGGCGAAAGCAACAAGGAGGAAAGCAGGTACTGAGGAGAGCTGGAGCCCCACGCTCCCTTTAGTCGCATACCTTAGCAACAGCTCAGTACCAGCAAGGAGGTTGGACGAGCAGGGCCGTCGCACAGCCAGCACCTCTCACTGCTGGGAAACTGCCCCTCTGTCATCCAGACCTACACGGTGAGATTAATTAACGTTTCTTCCACCCAACAGCAGTGAGTCAGCCCTGCCCGTCACACAGTGGTGATTCAGAGCTCCGTCGCTGTCTCACGGGTGGACTTTGAAGAAGTGGAGGCTCACAGTGCATGCATTGTGAGTCAGTGACACTCAGGTGAGAGAGGAATCGAAAGCAGAGCCCAAGGACAATTCCAAGGACTCGCCAAGGTTTGCCCACGTGTGCTCTACTCACCAGGCAACCTTGGAAACCTTGGGTATCTGGTAAATCATCTGAAACGACTTCTAGCCTTCATCCTCGATATCAAAATCCTCCCTTTCATAGCACTGTGTGATGGCTTTGCTTGAAGAGCCTTAGCCCTTGGGACACCAGGAGGGAAGTGCTGTGCCCAGGGTCAGGCACCAGCCCGGGGCCAAGGGCAGGAAGGGATGTGTGTCCACCCCACCTCTCCTATGACACCTGCGACTTCACATCACATCCCCAGAAAAGGACCTCAGGATCCTCAGGACCATGACGACCCGAGGACGCAGCAGTGCTCAGGTCCTGCAGCAACTTCAAGGAGAACCAAACTTCATGCAGAGGCTGCTGATGTTGCACAGCCAATGCACAAGAGATCTGCCTGCAAAAAAACATGGGGAACTCATGATGCTCCCTGTTCCCACAGCCTTACAGCTCTGTGCCATTCCCCATCTTGAACCAACGCTTTACGAAGGACCACAGGAAAACCCATCAACCCACTGAGCTAATAATTGCAGTACCCCAATCCTCAAAGCTGTCAATCTCTTCAAAATGCAGCTAAACGAGACAACTGCCTTCCACGCACTCCTTAATGCCACCTATTCCCAGAACACAGATTGAATTTGCAACTCAACACTTGAGCCTGCTGGCTATTGAGATCAGCGAGCGTCACAAGGATCCATGCTGTCTCATTAGGCTGTCATGCAGTCCCATGCCATTTTCAGGGTTATACTTAGAACCCACCGTCTCCTTGGAGCAGGATCTATTTGATCTGCGTGAGCAAAAGCAATTGGAACAGCCTGCAACTCTTCCACAGAAATAAAAGGTAACAAATCACTCGTAATAAATTTATTTTATATATTGGTTTACAGAGCTAAACTGAACGGATAATAAACAGCACCAAGCCAGTGAGATTTGTTCTACAAAACAAGTTTAATACAAAAAAACATGACTGTAATGCTTAACTCCTCACTCTGTATTTGGATGGTTAAAAACAATCGTAACTCAAAACCTGCAAACAGTTAAAAAAGGCTTAATTACATAGGCACTGGTGTTTGCGAAAGCTTCTGTAACAACAGTGGAGATCTCATCACAATGCTTTAGAAGAATCAAGGCCGCCCTCAGTTGATTCCCTATTTAGTGGTAAACGACTAGAAGGCCGTTCCTGAGTCTCCTCTCTTGCTCAAACACCTTACACGTGCGACCAAAAGCAACCTATGGGCTAGGAGTGAACCCCCCACAGAACAGCTCTCGTGTGACTCCTCAGGCCTCCCTGCAGAAAGCTGCTCTCCCCACTCCCCCTGGCTGATGAGCAGCACCAGGTATCGCCAGGAGCCCCTGCCACCCTTCTGCAGCAGGAGGCACAGGTGGAACGACCCACCAAACACCCCGGGGGGGGAGGGGGGAGATGCAGACTTCATCCTGGGATGCGGGCAGGGCGCCCACCCTGTGGGTGGCATCGCTGATCTGCAAACCTTGCAGGAGGGCTCTGGCTGCCATCCTGAGCCCAGCTGCCCAGCAGAGCCTGGAAGGGAAGCTCTCCATGCACTCAGCATCAGAGCTGAATGCAAAAATCCACACTCTGCTCATGAAGCTGCTAAACCCACCGCCGACACGCGCTGCCACTGGCTTCTCTCTGCAGGTTTTCTTAGCTTAGGCCAGAAATGAATTTGGTCCTCGCTGTCCCAGCGGCGTCCTGTCAGCGGTTTGATGACACAGGGAAGAACAGATTAACAGTATTTTTGCCCAGTCTAAGCTGCCACACTCTGCAGATATTTTCTTTGAAGAAAACAAAACAAATCAACACCCCCCAAAACAACAACAGTCCTACGCAGGACACAGAAACAAACTTAACTAGCTAGATGACTGCAGATACAAAACACAACGCCTGCAGCACCAACAGAGGACGGGCTGCTGCTCCTTCCACCTGTTGTGAGGCTGCAGGAACATGGATTTGGCACCCCCTGACAATGCACGACCCCATGCATTGTACGCCTCTGCTCTGACCCACAGCACACACATTGCAGCTGCCCAAGATAAACAAGTACATTCAGCCCCAATAGACATTCCAAAGCTGCTATTTAATAGCCCACGAAGCAACCCCTTGTAGCCACAAGAAAGCGCTTCCTGAAGCTTCCTATATCCTTCACTTCCCACCCAAATTCCCCCCGCCCCCCAAGAAAACATAAAGCACAGAATTTGCAGACTTAAAAAGTGGAACAGGATCACAAATGTTTCCCTCCACACCCCCAGCCCAGCCCAAACCATCAAGGCACGTCAGACTGCCCTCCCTCTATGACTACCTTTGCCTCATTTTATTTTTTTTCCTATTATTTTTTCCCCCCCACTTTTGAAGGGTGAAACAGACACAAACATTCTCCCTGCTGGGAAGCAGCAAGTGCTCTCATCGTTGTCTCTGCACTGCTAAAAAACAAACGCTAACAAAACGCATCTCAGCTGCCACCCTAAAGTTTCCATGGGAAATGCCAACCTCCTTTAAACACGTTCCATGCTGGATGCTGCCTCCAGTTGGCTTTTGCAGAATTGAGGTCAAATTTTAAGAACCATTGTCAGAGAGATCTCAGGTCCTTCAACATTTAAGGACGCATTTTTTTAACACGCTGCTTTAGGCTTGCTTGCCTACAGAAGCCAGATATCTGCTGGAAGGTTAACTTTGGTGTGATTCTAGCTTCCCACCAGCTCAAGCCCATCTTCTTTCTAAGCCAACATTATTGCCCTGGTTGTTTTTTTTTTTGTTTGTACGTGAAGATTTTAAGAAAGAAGAGCAAACAGATACGTGCAATCCCCAACCCAAGGAGGTTGGGACCGTGACCTGCTCTTTCCCACCACCCGAGAGGGGACTGCTCCCTTGCAGAGGTCCTTTTCAACAGTTGTTCTGCTTCTGCTCCTCTTTAGTGCTCTGAATCTGAGACATAAGATGGCTGAGTCCATCTCCATACGAGCATGTCCTCTCCTGCTACTCTGTGTGACTCTGTCTGAATCCGTGACTCATTTGAGGCCAGAAACTCCACAGCTCTGTTCCAGACACGCTTCATTTTTTTCCTGCAAAAAACCAGCAATGAAAAAGAAAAATAATTATATTCTCAAAGTGCCTTCCTGCTTACAGTAATTGTAGCTGTTGATCAAGACACTGCCAGCTTCCCGTGCAGACAGTAAAGGAGATTAAACCAGAATTCAAGTTGAGAGGTGATTTCAAGCCCAGGACATGAAAGCACAAATCCTACCAGTGGGGAAGAGGAGACCCTCTGGCAGCACAAACAATTGATGACTGCCCTGAATGTCAAGCCCAATTCACATTGCAGAGGGATTCCATCAGCAAACTGCCCCCACCTCCAAAGCACAGGGAACTCTCAGGCAAGGGAGCACAAGCTGGAGCTCCATCCAGTTTTGCAGTCTAGTAATTCTAGGTACTACACAGCTATCAATCAAAGCCAGCTGAAATAACTCCTGGTTGTATCGTGACTGATAAAGAGGGAGGATGTTTGAGACTTTGCAGCACGTGCAGCATTCTGTGCTGTCTGGAGAACAAAGCAGCTGAGTCTAAGCAAAATGTTAAAAAAAAAAAACAAAAAATGTTTTGCAAAGATGAAGCATCACAACCCAGGCTGCTCCTCCTGCCCCACCAACTGCGGCGTAACCAACTGGGCTTCCGTTCTGAAAAGGCATCAGAATCAGCCAGCTTGCTCTGCCTCCCATTCAGAGCTGCCTCATCTGAACAGGAAACTTTGCAGGCAGACAGTGTACAAAATCCCTTCAGAAGAGCCTCCCCAAAACCCCATTCAGCTCATGGGAAGGTTTGTTCTGTGAGATTGCAGCACCTGCCTGGAGAACGAGGCACAATGGCTGAGAAACAGGATGGCATCCTACATAGATTAGACAAAGGAGAAAAAAAAATTAAAAAAAGATGCTCCAGGCCCAGGAAAAACAAAATCCAATTACTGTGTGATAGAACAATGACAATACACCAGTGTGACTGCAAAAAATATCAGCCCCCTGGACTGCCACATTAATCTGCAGCAGGTTAATATATAGCCTGGGTTTTATCAACATCCTTTATGAAGTGAAAGGCCAGACAGACTCTGCTTGCTTCCCATCGATTGTCTGCTCGTGGTCGGTCATCCAGTAACTACGGTTTTGAGTTGAGTTGAGTCATGCCATGCTGACTCCCTCTAACAGAGCAAAGCTCACCTGCTCTGAGGAGGGATGAGGCTGTCCCGAACGTGGAGAATGCCCACATAGGGGTAGCGCTCCAGGTTCCGTTCCCATTCCTTGTAGTGGTCCTGGACAACAGCTGCAGGGCAGAAGGGAAAAACAAGGAGAGATTTCAACACTGCACAGAGCAGGAGAGTGTTAATTGGGTTTACAGAGATACTGGGCTCTACCTATGATCTTCTTCACCATATCATACATGGCTTGCTCCTCTTCCTCCATCTTCCGCCAGCGATACCGAAGGAAGATCAGGATCCCCCACAGAGTTACCAGACCTAGAGGAATAAAAACAAACAGAATTCAGTAGGGACATACATGTACTTCCTCAGTGCCAGCAGTTTTCTTTTTTTACAGCTTTCCTCCTCCCTGCTTCCCAGGTCTGCTTGGAACTGCATCCGAGCAGTACATTTTGTTCCTGCAGCAGAAGAGCAGGTGTGCATGTGAGCAGAGATGGCCAGAAGGCCTCATCACAGACCTTCCTCCCCCCCCCAAAACATCAGCATGACCACAGGGCTCTAATTCTCTAAATCCCAGAGCTACCTCTTTGCTAGAGGCTTCCCCTACAATAATCACTTAGGAAGACTGTCAAGCTCCACTGCTCTGCAGATAGCTACTTGATAAGGAGATAAAGCCCAGGGCTCCAGTGCCAGCCTAAAATTCAGGAGATCTAAATTGAAGGTTTAGCACTGACAAATGTCCCCATTACGACAGGAGCTAACTTTAGCATCTCAGTCTCTACAATAAACATAACTATCCCCTTTCACCCTCACCTCATCTGGCCAGATTATAAACTCCTCCAGCCAGCACTCATCTCTCATTATCACCTCGCTCAGTAAGTCCTCTGTCTCAGCTGGGGCGTGACAGACTCTTCCCATAAAACCTATAATACTTGAAATGCTACAAGTCATTACAGGAGAGTCCAGAAGGTTTTGTAGTTTAGTGCAAGAAAAGAAAGAACAAATGAATCTTTTAGGTAGGTTAACATACTTATTTTGCAGACCGCAGTAATGGGTACTTGAGGAATACTCAGGGAGCTAATCAGCTTGCTGATTTAAAGTAAGTGTTAAGCACTCAGCACAAGAGCAGGGCTACAGGTCTCTTTCTGCTGCCAGAAAAAGGTTAATTAGAAATTAACTCGTTGGCAGATTTATTTCACCTCTGCCAGTAGTTTCATATGGCTGGAAAAATACATGGGTGCACGCGTGTTCATCTCTACAGCCAGCAAGGGGAGAAGTCGATCAGAAACACTGACAACTTACACCAGAAGAACAGGAACAGGTTCATGACAGCAGTGATCACCGCCCGACGGAAACGGCAGCTGAGCCCCATCTGAGGGTGGGCCGACTCCAGACAGACCACCTCCTCCACTCTGCTGACGGGTTCGGAGGGGTCTCTGCCTTTCAACCTGATGGGAAGAGGCAGAAAATCTTCACTGGAGAACGCAAACGCTCCAACTGCAGTCTTTAATCAAAAGAGGGAGAGGAAGCAGACTGCAGATGCAGTAACTCGTTCTATGCGCCACACAGAAAATGCACCAACATCTTTGCACCTCCTCTTTCCAGAACATTTTGGGACCGGCTGCTCAGCAAGGACTGGATATGGCTTCAGAAAAGGCAGCAGGGCTGGAACTCCCACTGCTAAACTGAAATCTCCCTCTGCAGACTCTCTGACAGCACCTCTCAGCGAGCAGAAGATTAAACTTTAAATTGGATTCCCACCTCCCAGCACAGAGAAATGGAAATGTTTACTGAGTCACTCATCAGCAATTGCAGAGAGAGCAGCTGAGGGAGACTGCAAATGTCCGTAGAGGTTGCGCCGTTTCCCTCAGTGCTGATGAGCACAAACAGTTTAGCTAGGAAAGTGACAACACATCAGCTGTGTCTGCAGTGAGCAATGGACACACCCTCAGAAAGCATTCACAGCAAAATCGATAACACATCCTCCTGCAAAATCACTTGCACACACCTGCTGTGCCAGCCGAGATGCTTTTAGCTCACTTCTTTCTATACAGACCTACGCTGATGTGGTTTCCTTGTTAGATCCTCTAAGCCAACAGGCATCAAGCAATCCTAGCGAGAGCCATCAGATTCAGAGCAGTGAGACCAAAGGGGATTTCATTTTTTTTAAGCTAATTCATTCCAGGTTTGCAATGAATGACTTACTAGACAATGTCATTCTCTCAATTTATTAGTGCAGATCTCACCAAGTGCTGACAGCCTGTGTTTGGTTGCTGGATTCTACAGCAGCAGCAGACACAGCTGTTTCCCACCCCTCATCTTATTGACAATCCACACTCCATACTTTAAACATGCAGCAAAATCACTGAGCAGAGCTCATTTCCAGTTCTGCCTCTCAGATTGGCACCCAGAACGCCAATCTCACGTAGAAATGCCACCCTCAGGTTGGTAAGCCTGCTGAACACTCACTCTGCACACCGTGCAGACTTGGTGAAAGTAGATCTACTTGGCAAACAGCCCAGAAAACTGCTAATTATGAAAATTAAGAGAGAATATATTACACTACAAGGCTCCTGACACAAGCACTGCCCCTGTACAAAAATACGGCCCAAAAAGCAAATCCAAAGCTGCCAATAAGAAAACAATGTCTTGTCCTGGGAATTTGCCACACGCC